TTCCGAATAAGAAGTTGAGAATCCGCGAAAACCCCAACAACCCCTTCCGGAGAACCGCAGGTCGGCTTTCCGAAGCGGTGATTGGCTGGGCGCGCACGGATAGGCGGGCATGGATGGGGAGGGCGGCGCCGTCTGGGGCCTCGCACATCTTCGTCATTCCAAAGCGATTTTCTCGCTTACAAAGCGACACTTTGCGCCGCGACTTGGGCACTGACCATTACGGAAAGTAATGCAGGTGCCAACAAATTCAACACAATTGGACTGTGGCCCATAGTAAACTCCCATTCACCTTACGAGGAAAGGATACTTAGTGACCGTGGCATTTGATTTGCGATTATGTCGGAAGGCTCCGCTTGAAACGTTGGTTTCAAATGTGTGCTTCTCTCTGCGGAACGAATCCTTGAGACAATTACAAGCGGCATTTTCCTTTTCGACTTTGCTACAAATAAGTTTGATTGGAGCCATTTCGCTACTGAACTTCGATTTTGAAACTTTCTTTCATATCTAGGTTTTAACATCTGAAGGGAATGTGCCTGACAGGCACCTCACTTAGGTGCGAGAATATGGCCGGTTGAAATACTTCCCGCACCCCTGCCCGCTTTATCAGGCTTGATGGCAAGTTGAACAGATAAAAGACCGTCCGGTCGAGTGCCACAGTCGATTCAACGAGCTATCCTTAAAGGCACCGTCCACCCAAAATGAAGGTATCTCGCCTGCGCTTGTTGCGGAGGGTTCTCGAAACAGTATTTTTGGGGGTTTCGTGGACTTTCGACTCCATATTCGGAGTCAGGGCTTTCAGAAGGCCTGAAGGCGACAAAAACACTGAATTCGAGATTTTGGGTGGACGGTGCCTTTGAAGGCAGTGTCTGGGCAAGGTGGAGTTTTGAGATTTCAGTGCCATGCTAAAGTGGTCCCCTCAGACACAACATCGCGAAAGTGCAAGGACATAACGTGTGACTCAAAGGCAGCGTCCGGGCAAAACCTCGACTTCCATGTTTCTAGCGTTTCTTGCTTTTTCGACGCCCCTGAATCTAAATCCGAATCGAAAATTGCTTGAAATCTCCAAAACCCCCGTTTCTGGAACCCTATTTCAATAATCGCGGACGAGTGTTCCGAAATTTATCTGGTGTAGTGACACGTGAAAACATGTGTCAAAGATAGAAACACTGCGTGTAACGACACGTCAAAGGGGCGCGTCAAACACGTAAGCTCGTCTTCGTAGGCGTAAGGGGAGCGGAAGGAGGAAGGGGAGCGGCACTTGAGCCGCCCACCTGACTTTCAGAATTCACATTTTCGGGGCGGACTTGCTGTTTTGTCTTAGTTGAGGGGGACCCTGTCGAAATGTGACAGCATCTGAGGTAGGTCAATTTTGCCCGGACGCTGCCTTTAAGGGAACGGACATAGGTTGCGCGCAACGGTTGCCGAGGTTGCCGGCGTTTCCGGTCGTTGTAGGACCTCATGGTAGCCCCATGTTTCGCGCGCTCTCTAAGCTGCCTCTGACCCCGGCAACCTCGGCAACCGTTGCCGGCAACCTATGGCCGCGTTCCCTAAAGCAAGAAAAACGATTAAGGGCCGCATGCAGTAACATCCCCGCTGGGGAGGGGATCGCAGCTGCAGAAGGAAGCTTCATATCCTGAAGCTCCATATATGCGGTTTCACGCTGTCCGCCTATCCGTAAGTATTCCCACCTCCCTCACCATGAACATCTTGAAGGGAGCAAGAAGCTGTAAAAGCCACATTTTCCGGCTTTTTGTGTGATCCCCTGATGATCCCCCATGGCCGAACGCCTTTTGTTCAAAGTCATTTTTCTTCCTTCAAAGTCAACGAAAACCTTTCAAATTTGTACTGATTATCCAATCCAACTGTGCTAAGCATGTTGCTGATAAGAACAAATCTTATATATAAAGCTGAATGTCTGTTTGTCTGTCTGTCTGTATGTCTGTCTGTCTGTCTGTCTGTCTGTACGTATGTTCCAAATAGAAAATTCCATTTCTGAACCGATCCGGACCAAACTTGGCACACATACACTTCGGGCCCCGGCGGGTGTCATAGGCTACTTTTCGTCATCGATCGATATCGATTTTATCGACTTTTTGCAAAATTTGAGCTACGGGGCTGGGAGTTGGCACAGGGGGGTAATCGAGCATGCTGATTACGAATATAATAATGACAGGGCCGGGCGGAGCCGGGTAAGTTAACTAGTTTGCTGATAAGAACAAATGAGTTCTTGAAATACCGATATTTTCGATAAACCCCACTTTCGACTTGTGGTCATCGCAAATTTCATGACTTCGAAACATCACTTGTTCTTACCAGAAACATGATTAGCACTATTGGGTCGATAAACAGCACAACTTTGGGATGTTATTATTGACTTTGAAAAAAAGAAAAATGACTTTAAAGAAAAAACGGTTGGCCGCCGGGTATCACCGCGGGATCATACAAAAAGCTGGAAAATGCGGCTCGTGCAGCTTCTGGCTACCGTTCAAGATGTTCATAGTAAAGGATGATGGAAGTACTTACGAATAGGTAGAGCGTGAAATCTGGATATCCAGAGTTTCAATGAAGCTTTCTTCTGAAGCTGCGATCCCTTCCCCGGCGGCATGTTAATGCATGTGGCCTAAGCGAGAAAACCTACGCCTTGGGGCGGGGTTCTCCGATCTGTTTGAATTTCTGCTACCTCAGACATTCGCGGTTAAAGGCAGTGGATCGGCAAAATCCAACAACTCAGGATTTTAACGCGTAGGCTCCTTATTGCCCAAGTATGAAAACAGTGCAATCCCGGTTGCTCATCATCATGCCTTCCTTGCCGAGAATGCTCTCAAACTTACACGCGCAGGCCATTCTTACATGCATCCGGACAATCGTTGTTCCTTCTCACCATTGGAGGCTGCCCGCCGCAATGCTACAACTGTTGGGTCCTGCAACGATTCGGCGTCATCAGCCCTTGCTGCACCCGTTCAATTTCAAAGGGAAGGACATTCAAAAACGCTCGTTTTCGGCGTTTTCGAGCTCTCAGAAGTGGATTTTCGGAATCAGCGTATTGAATAATCCCAGGTAAGCGAAAATTTGACTAGGTCGAGATTTGCTGAGCCACTGCCTTTAAGTCCCGCCGGTGAGAAAGTTGTGTCCCGACGAAATGACTGTAGGGCACAAGTAAAATGATTCGCGAGAAAACCAGGACTTCTGCATTTCGTTCGGGATAATGCTGCGACACGCGCTTTTGTCCCGAAGTGTTTTCTACTGGGAAAACCGGGAGCTCCTGGGGGAGTCCCGATAACGTCGCGGTCCAATCACCGGCAGGATTCCCCCTCTGCGCTCATACGAAAAATCAGTTAAAGCCGCCGATACAGCAGCTTCGGAAACCAAGTCCGAGTTCAAGATTGATAACGCCAAGATCCTATCAAAGGTTGTCCGTTCGACAACATATTGACTCTGTTCTTGCCTGAGGGGCTGAAAACACATCCAGCGTTGTGGACATTGAGGGTAGTCTGACCATGCGTCGTATTTCACGCAAGTATCCTTTACGCTCAGACACTGGAAGCGGCCGACCCGTTTACCCTGAAATTGTCTCCCGATAATCTCCCGCTTCATTTTTACTGTCGGAATAATCCCGAAACATGGAACAAATCCGGGTTCGCGCAAGACTACAGATATTCTCGCGATATTTCATTTTGTGGGCGGATCTCCTGCGGGACTTAAACACGAATGTCCGAGACGCGGCAGAGTACGCGTGCCGCCAGTCAAAATCGTAGGGTTCCGCAGCGACTCTGCGTCCCATCCTTGGTGGAAACCATCGAATTTCAAATTGTAAGTTGGAAAACGCATGTTCTCGCCGTTTTCGCGCCTTCTAATGTGGATCCTCGGATTATCGTTGCGGATAACCCCCGGAAAGTGGATTTTCTAAAAATCGAGTTGCCAGGACACTGCCTTCAAATATAAGATGGGCCGGTTGAAGTGCCAGTGAAAGCAACTGAGGAGAATCAGACAAAAATCCGGGCACCTTTATAGGTTCACGTTAGCACAAGAAGCGCAGTACTGCACAATACCGGAACCCAAAAGGGGATGATTGATAAACAGTTAATTGCAGCTAACAACAAAGAAAGAAGTGAGAACGAGAAGTGAGTTTTCTTCTTTTTCTTCGAAAGTCTCAGCTTACCATCTTGACAGACGCTTGAGGTAAGTTTTTTTCTATCAATATTCTCTCGGCCGTAAGTTTGTTTCTATTGATAGTAGGTAAGAATAACTGTTTTTTCTTCCCGATAGCTAGGAATCTGTAATAGATCTTTCGACAGCGGTCTTTGCCATAAAGTGTTCGCTGACGTGGCATAAAGAGAGCCTCAAGCCGACCACGAACCCTGGTCCCTCACTTGAAACATGGTTGGTTTACCCATTCGACCAAACCCACTCAACTACGTTTCTTCTGAGGGCATAGGTTTTTCATATTTGAGAAGTGGTGCGCATTGAGACTGATGGCCACGTTGATATCGCGGAGCCGCGTCAAGTTCAACTTAGCCCCGCTCCACCCATGTTACGAAGACGGTGGGTTCACTACGGGCCCGTGTTCAACATTGATGTCATTGTACCGTTTTACGGAAGGAGCCTTCTTAATAATGATATCTTTGCGCAAGTTTTCACATGCTGTATTTTGGATACCCCTTTCCCTATTTTGCCTTCATGTTGATATTTGACTTGTTCTCTTTTTGTAAATGTCCCAGTCTTTTCAAAAACATTTGTAAACTGGAAGGTCGACCTCAGGGCATTTCCAAATATGCGTGTGTTGCCTTTATAGCGTGGAAACAATAAATTTATGTATGATTTTGGTTTTTGGATCACTGGTAATATTGCTCACAATGCAGGGTCAGACACGCAAACAATTCGAACTGCATCGATCTGATAACTGTAACAGTGCAATATCTGCCCAGAATCAACGTTTTGTATATGCCACTACATCTAACTGGAAGTGATTTATCGAGGTGACAAAGATTTTCCAAAAAGTCGCCCGTCTGTTCAGCTAGCATATTTGAATGCGACATAGTCCTGTAAGGAAAAACATGGAAGGTCGAAAAACAATGTTTGACGAAACTTACTACAAGGAATATCGCCGAAAGAAGAAGAATTTTTCCTTCTATTGACATATCCACAGGGACTGAAAAATATTGTTATGACTTGTAGTAAGGAAAGTGCGCAGGAAAAAAGTTTGAAAACCTACATCGAATGTGAAAGACGTTAGCTACAGTGAATATTTGTGTACATATTCCAACAAATTTTTTAGCAATCGTTCCAATAGCTTCTTGATGGTCATAAATCTGAACCCAAAACTTGTTTTGAGTCAAACGCGGAGAATTAAATTGAAGAATGGATTTTATAATTTGTGGTAGGCAGCTTTTTTGTGGGTTCTATACTACTCTTCGAACAGCATGCGATCACACTACGATCGCGTTGTATTAAACCAGCAGATAATCTTTGCTACACTTTTTCTCTTTAGCTTACATTTAGAATTTTTTTAAAACCCCCAGACTTGCTTTTCGTAGGGCGGCAGGGCCTACACCTCAGCATTGATGTCGGAGATGCACAAATAGCCAACAGTTTATGTTAGCTTTGAAAACACATTGTAAATTTTCATTTTTTCTTTGATTTTTTCTCTGGTCTAAGTGTGTTTTTCTCTCCTGTTACTCTTTAGTATTTTAGCACTGTCTCTTTTGCGGCAGCGCTTTGGTGCCGTTAGTGTATAAAAACGAAAGGTCAAAATATATCATCAAAAAATTCGAAGTTATCAAATTGAAATTCGAATGTGCGAAAACGTGGCGCACCATCAACTCAAATGAACGTGTGCAGGCATAATTGTGCCATCCCCCATGTCCGCAAAAGTATGAACTATACCTTACCCGACTACCACATTATCTGATTTCTGCTGATCACCTTTCTAGATTTTTGAGAACAAAAGTGTAACACAAATTATCCGTCAGTTTAACATATTTCTTCTTAGGAAAATAGCACATGAATTGACTATAAACCTAGGCTTGTTTAATCCCTATTTACAGAATTAGCCAACAAGCCACAAAGTATTGACTTTATTCAATATCGCCAACAATGGAACCTCGCTTCTTGTAGATCAATAATGTAAGTGCATTTTTCAGTGGATTCGTACTTTGTACCTTGAATACGTTTCCAATGAAACCCGAAGTACAACAACCCATACAACAACATGAGGGTCCAATGATTTGTGCCATAAAACCACTATTATCACAAACATTAAATTTTAATTTTGTTCCACATATTTGATTCACAGTGCCGATCTGAAATGGACCATCGCATCATTGATATTTTTGAACACAAAAATATTTTTGGATACATGGAACAGCGATATCTGAGTACCTTGTGTCCAAGTGGGGATTCGACGGATATCATTTCACTACAGCAATCGAGACAGGCACATAGTTTTGTACAATCATTTGTACAACAACAACAAAATTTACATTTACGCTTGAATCGTATGAGTTCCTGAAATAAAAATAGTTTCTAAGCACTTCGATTTTGGGGCTTGCATATTACATAATTCTTGAGTATGAATTTACCTGTAAACTGTTTTCATCAAATATATGCATAATAAATCCATTCCGACTAGGCATACAACACCTACATAAACAGCTAGATTCTTCATACGCAACGAATAACTGCAATTATGATAACAGGAGTAAGAAAACATAGTTTTGCTCATAAACAGGGTTGAGCAAGAGGTCAGGCACAAGTCCTTCAAAAACGACCCCCCTCCCCTGTGAAAGCCCCTAAACGACCCTCCGCTTCACCTTCAAGTCCTTAGGATGTTATATTTTGAAGATGACCAGCCTTCACTGCAGGTTTCTATTTTTTGAAAGTCTGTAGCCCGACTTTCTGCAATTGCACAACCACAGGCAACTTGACGGCAAGTCTTAGATCTGGATAGTACTCTTTTCAGAGCTATAATTTTCAAGGGGTGGAGTGTTTGGCTTCAAATTTTCAATATAGCAAGAAGAGGCTTTGCGCTCAATACTCATATCAAAAAAGGGGCGTTTTTTGAATGCTGAAGGCAAGTTAAGAGGGTCAGGCGCAACCCCTCAAAAGCTCAGGCTGCCTGACCTTTTGAGGGGTTGCGCCTGACCTCATTAACTTTATTTCCGAATAAGCTTTTCTATCCAAGTTTTAAGTGATTCGCTAGCTCAATCCTCGAAGATTCCACAGTAAGTGTTTGAGCTTGATTCGACTTGTTTCGGCCTTGTGCTAATCCGAGAAGTTGAAGCACCAATGTGAAAAACGCGCCGGATGGAATTTCGGCAGCACTTCTTACTTCACTGTTTGAAAGCGATATGAAGTCCGATTTGTAGCATAGACTTGCAGAGAACATTACTTTGTTATGAGTATACAAAACCTGACTTTTCTCACTTCTGAAACCGAGTTGATCACATTTGAAAATCACGCTTTTTAGGCGTTGAGAAACACTAGAAACTGCAGTAGGTAATGATTTGTAGAGCGCATAGAGGTGATTTGACATGCTGATTATGGAAATGATACCCATTTCATGCAGCAAGCTTCCTTGTTTACCTCATATGTCAAGGTAAAAGAGAAGAAGATTTGAATTTTGGCTGAAACTTCCATTGTGGAAACAATTAGTATGCTGTTTATGACCGTCATTCCTTCATGTGATCGCGATAGGCCCCGGACAGACTTCACGCGACTTAATCGTCGCGACTCAATCGCCAAGATTTCCATTCATTTTCATTTCACATTCAAAAATTTCGGGCTGGAAAAGTATCACAACCGAAATGCAAGTTGATCGGCATGGAATGATGTTGTAACAGTTGTCTCGTCGCGGTTCAGTCGCGACGATCAAGTCGCTTGAAGTCTGTCCGAGCCCATATCCACCGGACTAGCGCATGTATTCTTCATCTTCACAGTATCTCCCCAACTTAATAAATTCGATTCTTAATTACGACTCCCCCCCCCCCCTCAGTCTTACCCTCAATACGATCCCCAGGTCGGGCGCGCCTGACCCCACGCTCAACCCTGCTCATAAAGTCTACTCCAAAAAGAATCATCGCCAGCGTGCGGCTATAGTCGCCTCAAAACGGATCCGAGGTGACGCCCTAAACTGCGCGCGAGAAAATTTGGCACCGACTATTCATAACATTTTGTGGACATCTACCATCCAATAACTTTTTGACCTAAGAATTTTTGTATTAGTTTAGCACTTCTTCGTCTGCAGTTTGGCGACGGAACCGGATTAAAACAGCCGCAGTTCAGAAAAGAAGTAATCAATACATACCAGACGACCCGTGAAATCATAGATGTCGTATATATTCGCCATATTAATGGAAGTAAGTATTTCAGTAACATTAATACGCTGTAAAAAATATGTTTGCGAATGGCTCCAATGTCAAGAACAGCTGCTTACTTGTTGTATGACCACACCGCTTAGTTTGCTTAGTATTTCCAAGCTTTCAACATTACCTAAAATACCGGACTCAATAGCTCTAAGAACCATCAGCTTTAAACGGTGATTCCAAATATGCCTTTCCTAGCTGTCGCGCACCATTGCGAAGCGAGTTATGGGCTTTCTATGCGCAAAATTGGATACTACACAACATGGGAAGACCCTTCGTGAAAAAAAAATACGCCCTCCCCACTTGGCACGCCATTGGTGTGTACATATATAAAGCAGAAAGCTTGTAAGTGTTTAGTAACCATATGTTACTTTAGACTCCCTTGCGAGTGAACTGAATGAGCTGGAACTTTGCCCACCTATACCTTTGACCCTGGGAAGACACAAGCTACTTTTCAAGGCAATTTTTCCTTATGGAAATGAAAATGAAACCTTTACACCGTTATCAAAGCTATCGCATAACTTTGATGTAAACAATGGCAGTAAAACTCGTCTCCATTTGGCGGTGAAGTAATGGTCATTGAGACAGGGACTTTTTGAGGTAAACTCAAAGAGAGGGGGAGGGGGCTCTTGGTGCAGTACGGAGACAGCATAAAGGGGGCAGATATAGTGGACAAGCATAATAATGTAGCGAAGCGAACGGGAAAGAAGGAAAGAAAAAAGCAATTTATGGCTTTTTCCATCTTCCTGGACAGTCACCCGCGCTAGACCGGGAAGCCAACCAGCCAACCAGTTTTCTTACAAAAATGATAGATTATTTACTAGATGGATTGCATTATTTTTCACGCTCCGCCTTTGATCTGAAACCGACTAGTCGGAAAGATAGCGCTGATTACGGATGATTAACGTATTGAGTGAACTTTTCGGATCTCAAATCATATGCAGTAATCAGCAGACATGGGGTATACAGAAGCTCGCGGTAGATTCTTAGGGAACGGTCAGAAACTGCTGTGATTTCGTCTACGGAGAGGATGTAGGCAATTTCGAGCCTGGATGTCATTCAAGCTCGATTTTTATGAACCTTGGTAAAGTTGTGTGATTGCCGGAAAATTGATCATTTTCAGATCATACACCAGAGCCGCCCACTAGCATCTACCCCTCCCATCAGGAAAATAGAATTTTGTACGTAATATCTAGCCCCATCAAAGCCCTGCATAATTTAGTAGACTGTGTTGAAAAATTCGATGAAGCTATGTAATACCACGAATATAACAAGGGTAAGAAAAAGTATTACTTGCCGTTAGAATGAGCTAAGATGGTTGGAAAAATTAATGACGATCATGACTTATAATAAGCGGCTTAATCTGAAGTTGTGTGGAGTTTGTCCGTTACGAAATTACAGTGAGGAATGATTTACGATACTAAACATTATGTGAGGTTAAGATAGCGAGTATGGTTCATTTTTAACTACGGCTCACTTTGCAATAAACCGAACAATGATTTGAGAGACAAGCTCTCAGAAAGTGAGTTTACCACGGTTCACGATGCCAGTGCGAACCTCTGCGAAGCAGAGGTGAAGCGCTGGTAAAGAAAATAAACAGAGAAAATGCAAAAATTACTTGTACTAGTTCGTAGAGAATTCGTCGTCACTTCAGCACTGCCACTTGGTTGAGTGCGTATGAATGGCAGCTCACATTCTTCAGACATACGACTGCACCTGAAAATCTGAGAATTGAAATGAATCTCACTAATCTTCGAAAGAATTGAAAAGGTGAGACAAATCCTTGATACAGTCTTCATTTGCAATGCCTTCTGTTCAAATATGGAACTATAAGACTAATTAACTTTTCTTTATAAAAGAAGACTTTTTATATTGCAAGTAACCCAAACGGATTGAGGAAAGGAGAAAGACGTCGTCCGAGCATATCGATTTCTGGGGAATGTTGTTGTGAAAAATGCAAAACATCGGCGCTGTTCGTCAGATGTCTTGGCATGTCGTTTGTAAACAAAATTTACTCAAAAACAGAGGTGCTTGATGTATTCATTAGGTCATTGTATTAGGTCATTCCGAAGGTAATGTCGCTTTTTTCAAGTGAACCCACATTCTGTGAAAGCAAGATTTCTAGGAGATCTTGGCAGCGTTCGATGCAGCATTTCATTCTCTTTCCAATGGTTATATGAGCATTGCACAATATTCGATAAGCTCCAAAAAAATCACCAAAATCTGACCCATGCTTTTTGAGAAGGTCAAGTTCCACAATTTTTAGAATTTTTTACAACAATCCTCGGAAGAATTCCAAGTAACAAGTGAATTGAGCAAATCTTATCGGAAACGGCATGGTTTTTTCCTACTTTCCATGGTCTCATAATTTTTGAGGAGATTTTACGATGGAATCACCGAAATCTAACAGGCTCGTCTCATATACAAATGCATCAAATACTAAATTTTCGGATTTTGAAACTTACAATAGTGAATTATGGTTTGACACTAATTTTACAAAGTAAGTGAGCGTTCACCGCTTTAAATTAGCAACTTTCGGAAATTTCGGGAGAACTTGGAGCGTCCTGGAAAACTCGAATTATGATAATTTTATCCAAAAAAGCTTAATGAATAGGAAACCAGAAACAACTGGTAAAAAGAGGAGAAAAAGTTACGTCGAATGACACCCGAGTTGCTTCTTGGTTGTTGTTCTGTGAGGTTCGAGTTGACCAAATATGAATTTTGACAGTACTGAAAAATTGATTACGAAAACTCTAAGAAGCAAACTAACAAGGGAACCGTGTCGAGTCGAAGTGGCCTTTCTAGATGAGACCCACACTGCTCTGAAGGGTTTTAAGCGTTGATTCCAAATCTGCCTTCCAAATCTGCCAAGCGCCTCTAAACGCCGAGTTATGACCGTTCTTCGCAACGAAAAATGGATGCAGAATTTAGGTAAAATTGATTGTTACAATCTTTCCAGCGCTCAGATAAAGCAATGTTAATTATTAGCATATTGAATAAAATGTATCCATTGCATAGACAGCTCTGATACTTGACACTGGACTATTTGAGCAAATTTGGGCGATTTTGCTTCAGTTTTGCGTTCAATTTTTTGACCTGAAAAACGAGCATAACTTGGCGTCCAGAGGCGCTTGGCAGATTTGGAAAGCAGATTTGGAATTACCGATGAATACTCTTCAAAGCAGTATGGGTCTCATCTGGAAAGGCCACTTCGACTCGACACGGTTCCCTTGTAAGGAGAAAAAAATTGTTTTGTGTCCTATAAGGTTTGCTCTATTTATCTGTTACTTACACATCTTCGGGGAATCAGTACAATGGCATAGAAAATTAAATTAGCAGAACTTGACCATGACAAAAAGCATGAGTCGCAGGTCTTGGTAGTTTTTTGAGAGCTCAATGAATATCATGCAGTGAGATTACAATCATTAGAAAGATGACGAAATGATGCATCGACAGGTCCCAAGAGCTCTTGAAAATTTTGGTTCCACGAAATGTGGCGTCCAATTGGAAAAAAACAACATCACTTTCGGAACGACCTAATATATTATATAATTACGGAAAATATCGTGATCCACACCCACATCTATATTTAAATAAAACTCAATGTCTGTAAGGCTCCGCTTTATTTGCTTGTGTTTTATAAAACCCCCGCCGCGATTAAGCTGAAACTGTGCACACTCATGTATTCGGCCCCTGCGCTAATCTTAGACTACTTTTTGACGATTCGCACGGGCCTTCCATCGATTTATCGGTTTGTTTACTTACAGCTAGGAAAATGAAAGCTTCTCATGGTTTAGCAATCTTTCCCAATAAACATGTAAGTAGGGGCAGTAAAGCTCATTCTAATCTTAAAGTCGGCAGAATGCGGCAGTTCATGTCAAAGCGCTTTTCGCGCATGGCAGAAGAAGTTTGCAAGCGTAAGTAACATATTTTGTTGGCCTTAATCTCGGGTGAAACCGGGATTGCAAGCTAGTAGGACATATATACAACGAAGAATACTATTCAAACTGGCAGACTTTGAGTTTTCTGCAAAAATTTCGATCTACATTCAAAAAGTCAGTATCATTCTCCTTATGTATGCTTTTCCATGATACAAAACATATTGAATTTAGGTTTATAGCTGAGCCACCAGCATCGAACGCTAGCTGTGACGAAAAGCTTTCACATTTATCAACCATTTTAGAGGGTACTTAAAAGCCAAAGAAAATGGAAACTTCTTTATAGCTACTAGTTGTAGGTAACATTAGCAGCGAAATGTAGCAAATATAAACATAAAAAATATGAAGGTCCTAGCCAGACCACATGAGAGTTCAAAATTTAATATGAAAGCTTTCATGATATCGCAGACGTTCAATGAACATGGAGAAGACTTGAGGAAAGAACTTAACAGGAGAGAAAGAGCAGCCTAGGTCGCTTTGGGGCATCTGAAGAAAGCCACCGGCCAGCTGACGGAGATGCTTCGTGCCCACCAATTCGACTCTACCGTTCTCCCGGCACTCTGTTACGCAGCTGAGACTTGGGCTGACAATGGCATTGAGCGCTAGAGCGCAGTCTTTCAAAGATGACCCGACACAAACAAGATCTTGTTGGAATTTGAGAAGAATGTCCCATCTTCGTGACCCAGCGGAATATGCTGCGAAAGAGAAGCATCGATCACATCATGAGAAGAACAAACGACAGATGGACACTAAGAACATCAGAGTGGATTTCTCCCGAAGTAAAACGTGGAGGAAGACCTCTAATGAGATGGCAAACGTGTTTGTGGAATGGGTGGACCAGCTGAGAAATCAGCTGGATACGACTTTTCACCTGGAACTCGTGAATGCAGCCACCTTCGCCAAGCAAGAAGATCGTGAATGTCTGAAGCGAGGGACAGGACGAAGAAAACTTCTGTGCCGTGGCTCGCACGTCATTTGAAGCCAGGCTATCTAAATAAAGTACGTACTTTTGAAGTCAAAATGTGTGTGTTTGAATCTAGGTTCTGAATACAAATCTTCTCAGGTGGAGCTATGAGGCTGAAACTCTCTCCCTTAAAAAGAAGCCATAGTGTTTACCATAGGCTACTTTCGCGGCGATTCACTGAGCCCCTCTATCGAATTATTGATTTGTTTGCTACATCGAGGATGAGAGCTTTAATCGTTATCGGATAATTTCCCCAAATAAATAGAAAGGAGCGGTAAAGTTGATCTACATTTCGCGGAAGGAAGATGCGTTGTTACGAAGAAAGGCAGATAGTTTCCGCTTCATAGCTCGGTGCTCTAGGAATCTCTGTTCTTCCTTGTTCGTTCATCTATTGGAGGCTCTACTACCCTAATAATGTAGCACAATGACTAGCAGCACTTTGCTATATAAGCTAAAATAATCCGTTATTTGTATGATCCCGTACGGGATCTCCCACTGATCACGCTCTTTTTTAAAGTTATTTGAATCCACAAAAACTCGAGGAAAACGTTGCAGAGTTTTGCTGTCCATTTATTACGAGAATGCTACGCATGTTTGTGAAAGAAATAAGTGAAAAATCAAGTTAACAAAATCTTCGCTGAACCTGTGCTCGCGAATTGGGCTTTATTGAAAAACTCAAAACTTGCACATTTCATCTGTGCTACTAAAAACATGCGTAGCACTGTCATAATAGATCGACAGCAAAACTCTGTGACGTCTTCTTGAGTTTTTGCGGATATAAATAACTTTGAAAATGAGCGTGATCAGTGAGAGATCCCGTTCGGGATCATACAAATAACGAATTATCACAGCTTATACAGCAAATAGGTTGCTAGTCATTGTGCTACAACATTAGGTTAGTAGACCCTCCAATAGATGAACAAACAAGGAAGAACACAGATTCTCAGAGCACCGAGCTATCGGAAACCATCTGTCCGGGCAAGTTACCCGGACGGGCGATTGTTACACACCGCCCCCGGATGTCCCTCCCTTATCTTTCCTTCCTATCGTTGAAGTTAGAACAACGTCGGAAAAGAAATCATTATAGGCTTGAAAACAGATATTTGAAGTAATTTAGCTTTTCTGAGCAGTTTGGAGCGACAGCTTTCCATCACGTGGCAAAGTTTGGGCACTTCCAAGCATTCTGACCTACAACGGGGTACGTTAATTATCCGTTCCAATTTCGTCAGAAAGATATTCGTTCTGTACATGCATAACATTTACTATTAACTGAGGAAGGAGTGGCAAATTCTTCCCAAGTGCCAAAAAAATATCGGCATGTCCGTAGAATTCAACAGACTTTCAGAGTTTTGTGTCACCCACTTACTAAGGTATGTACGGTCATTCTTTTTTTGCTGATAATAATGACCCATTTTCAGACAGTTACACGAATGAATATGAGCAATATAGTAATCTTATTGTCTTTGCGGACATAAAAGCTTTACGAAGAAAGAGTGAGATAGGATTCTATTATTTAAGCTGCGAAAGGGGGAAGACAGGTACCTTAAGCCATCATTTGATTTCTCCTAATTCAATTCATATGGCAGAAGCACCTTGAAGATGAATATATCTTTGGGTTATTGCTGAAAGAGATCAAAATGCTCTCTTAAACATTTTGGAATGTCTTGCATTTATAGAAAACAACTTGTGTCTACGCAAATGTCTTCTACTTCACGAGCAAGGGCTGTATACTAATGGGCTCTTGATGAGCGCATCTGCTGAAGAAGTCAAGAGACGAGATAAATGACCGAACAAAATGTTACCAAAATTTTAGCTC